CTCGACTGTACTGAAAGACTAAGGGTTATCAAGACTGAGGAGCTGGCTCTCCAAATCAACTGTCCCTTCACATGAGCAATATAGCTTATCTTCCCAGTCTTGCCTCCTCTGCTTCCTTCCCTCCCAGGAAGTAAATAAGATAATAGTATCTTATTAGATATATACTATTTATCTCCGCTGTTCTCACTTCTACTTCCTTTGACTTTGGAAAAGAAATCCGCTGCTTTCCAGAAGATCCAGAGACCTGACAGAGATTCAGGGTCACACATACAGTTCTGCTGCATCCAGTTGCACTTCACCTCTTAGTTCACTTACGTAGATCTATTGAGATGAATCACACAAATGAGTGAATCCTATACAGGTGCCTCATGGAACACTTCCAAAGTTGAGAGGCTTCTTGCACACAGGAATTAGTCGCTCACAATTTTAGCTTCAAAAGGATGGAGCCGCTACTACATTTGTCACCTATTGTTTTTGCACAGACTAGGGAAGATATGCATGTCAAGAGTCTCCTTTGCACAGGTTAGATCCTTTTTAAATGCATTTATACAAAATGATTTTTTTTATAGGGAACAAAAAAACCTTTCTGTGGAAGAAGTCATTAGCAGTCTCAGGTGTGGAAGCAGCCTAAATGCTCAAGTTGCCTCCAGCAGTAAAGACGACACAGCCTTCTAAACAGCATTAAACATTTAGGGACATAAGCCACTAATGAAACATACTAATTCTTAAGCCACTAATATACGGAGACAAATGCGGTCTTACATACAAACGTAAGCTGGTAATGCCTTACGCGAGCCACCTTCAAAACAGATTAAAGCATACTTACTAGATGTATGGTAAAGTGCTTACTTAGGAAGAGACAGTGCATAAGCATGCTTTTTTCTTTAAAGTACAAGCGCACAGGTGGCTAAACAGGAAAATTCTCTACTACATATCTTGCAACTTTATTACCAAATCTGTATTTTTCAAACTCAAACACAAGTTAGAGTCAAATGAAACTCAAAGCTCGAGGCAGAAGCGAAAATTAAACTACTCCTGTATGTTTCATATGCAAAAAATACCCGCTTTCGACTGTCAACTGTTACTTTTTTTGTAAAGGTGGAAAATGAATACTGAATAATTAATGCCGGTTCCTAGTTCATTTAGATCTATCAAAAGGTCAAGCATAGCCTAAGCCCCAGAGCCAATAAAGAGGCATTGCCGTCTTTTGTTACTGCACAGGAGCTAACCAGATGCCATAAAAATTGCACCCCTCTAAAGCAGCTAGTTACATACAGAATCACATCACAAACTTTTTCCAGAGCTATTGCCATCTGAGAACAGCACATGTCCAGGTAAGTCAGACACAGTGCAGTGTAGACACAACTCATAGGTCTCCACTCTGCACTCCACTGTCTGCACTCCAGTGCAGACACAACTCATAGGTCTCACATAAGAATACTCATGCTCTCAGCACCTCCAATTTGGTATATCCCCAATCTGAGGCTAATGCAAGGAAGAGGCACCTGCATGATGGCCTTTCACTCCAATTAATGTCCTCTATCACCAGGTCTTGCTCTCCAGTTTTCAAAACACCTCTTTATTCTCCAGCATTGTCACATATTAGACCCATGCAGTTTCAACTTATTACTATGATCTGCTGATAGAATCCTGTCACTTTGGGATTCTGCTCATGGATCAGAATCCTGTACAGAATCCCATTGTCCTGGTTTCAGCAGGGATAGAGTTAATTTCCTTCCTAGTAGCTGGTACAGTGCTGTG